CACGGAACCTCAGAGGTGTGGAGAGAGGACTGGCCTAGGCACTGACATGAGCCTTCATGCTGCTTCTGCCTCATACCCTGGGTGGCACTCAGATGAGCCCTTAACTCCTCTGGGCCTCAGTTTTCTCATCTGTCCAATGGGAAGGGTAGTCCCCAACCTACACCCTGACAGGACGTTGGGGAGGCAAAGGGCAAGGTGTGGACAGGACTTCATTAGCTCTCCTCCCCGGCCCACCCTCAGCACAGGGAAGATGGGGGGGGGGGGCTAGGAGGAGGCCGCTCAGTCACACTCCCCTCTGGGTTTTCACCTCCAAGCGAGCTGCCTTCCTTGGGTGAAGAGGCTAAATGCTAACATCAGGTGTGTGTGGGGCGGGTTGCAGGGAAGAACTGGGTAGCTAATCCCTTGCTACATTTCCAGAGGAAACATTCCAGAGGTTTTCTCTAAACAGGGCATGAGAGACATTCCGGTGGGGCTCCTCTCCTGGATTCTCCTGCCTGGGTGGGCCTGCAGCCTGAATACCCCCAGGCCAGTGTGGGAAGCCCCCAGAGGCATCCTTCATCCACCCATCCCACCAAGATTCTTTAAGCAGGGAGGGTACAACCCTTGGCTCTGGTTGGAGGGTGTGGACTCTCTTCTTAGATGGTCTCCACCATGATAAGGAGGGCAGGGCAGGGGCATCTGGATCCTCACAGGCTGTTGACAGGTGCCTGTCACCACGTGCTGGCCATGCCCTTCCTGCAGTGGGCAGTTGACTGCAACCTGCCCATGTGGCCCTTGAGAAAGCCCATGCTGGCCGCCTCTTCCTCCAGCCTCCTGCCCCATGGGGAGAAGCTCCCAGGCTGCCAGGCAAGGGCCAGAGTCTCTACCATGCTTCCCAGTGAAGGAGCCAAGAAAACACAGTCCCTCCAGCCCCAGGAGACTCGGGCTGCCGCCCCCACTGCCTGGGGCCAGGGCTGGAGGAGGCCCGGAGACCACAGCATGCCTTGCTGACAAGTAACCACGCAGGACTCTTCCAGCCCACCCAGGATACGCTCTCAGGATCAGTTCAATCTTCTAGGAACCTCAGGGTCATCTGTTTAAAAAACAAAACAAGCCCTGACTGGTTTGGCTCAGCAGTTAGAGCACTGGCCTGCGGTCCAGAGAGACGTGGCTTCTGTTCCCGCTAAGGGCATGTACCTCGGTCGCAGTTTGTCCCCGGTCCTGGTTGGGTCGTGCAGGTGGCAGCCACTCGATGTGTCCCTTTCATGGCGATGTTTTTCTCTCTCTCTCTTCCTCTCTCTCCCTCCCACTCTATCTGAACAAAAACTGAAAAAATGTCCTCGGGTGAGGATAAAAAAATAAAAATAAAATAAAAAACAAAACAAGCCCTGGCCAGTCAGCCTGCAGACCAGAGTCCCGGGTTTGGTTCCTGCTAAGGGTACATACCTTGGTCGCTGTTCATCCCCAGTCCCGGTTGGGGTTGTGTGGGTGGCAACCAGTTGATGTGTCTCTCTCACATCGATGTCTCTCTCTCTCTCTCTCTTCCTCCCTCTCTCTCTGAAGATAAATGCAAAAATGTCCTCGCATGAGGATAAAAAACAAAAACAAAAACCGATCACACCCTAAGGTTGCTTTTAGGAATAAATCAGCTTTCAGGAATAACAGGCCAAAGGGGTAGACCCTCTACACTCCCTCCTGGCTTTCACCTTTCCTTCCCTTTCAGAAACTTCGAATCTGTGTCCAGCGTTACAGCTGGGTCAGAGGCCAGGACTCTGCCTGAGCACGTCCACACGCCCGGAGGACACATGAGAGTAGGGGTTCTCCCTGGAGTCCAGGGAGCATGACATCACCACGACGATGAGGGGCAGTGACAGAAATAACTGTGACGACGACGCTGGCACACACGGGGTCAGCTCCAAGTTCGCGCACCTGAGAAGGTAGTCTTTTAGCGATGCTGGCTACAAGGTCGGCCCAATGACCCCGTTTTCCACGCTGCTCTCCGACGCTGGCCCCCAGGCCCAGCTTTCACACTGAAGAGCAGCCCGCAGGCCATGGCCCCTGTGCGGCTGGGGAGGGCTTCTGCAACTCAGCACAGCAGTAAAAGGCACCCGCGGAACAGGCAGCCTTCCTGTGTCCACTCTAATAGGTAAACATCGGAGTCACTTCCTGCTGCCCCCACGGGCACCAGCACACCTAAGAGGGGACTCCAGCAGCACAGAACTGACGGCCCCTAGGACGGTCCCTTCCGCAGAGAAGACGGGGGCGGGGGACGGTGTAGACGCGGTCCCTCTGAGGAGGGTGTGTGGGTGGAATCAGGTATAAGTAAAGATGTAAACAAACAGAATGCATCGCTATGGAAACGGCTGGCTTTTTCCAAGGCATTGTTAAGGCCGACAATCCAGAATTCAGACTCGACACAACTGTTTGTGACCAGACAAGGCAAAGTGGGTCTCAGATAGTCTGCAGCCAGGTCGGAGCTGCCAGAACTCGAGGAAGGGATACTCCCAGAGGGCAGGGCCACTCATGCCGGCGCTTTCTCTTCAGCCCTCCAGCTGGAGCATCTGCTCTTCGGCTCCCCGTAACTCTGCTGGCGTGGCCACGATGCAATTCAAGAGGACCTGCCACGCACCAGGGCAGGGTCACATCAGCCATGCAGGCGGCAGGGAGCAAATGCCACAAGGAAATGGCAGGTTTATGGGCTGTGACCCAAACTTATTAGGACTCTCCACGGTCACCTGGGCTAGCAGTCCAGCCGACAACGTGGACCCTGATTTCCAGACCAGAGATACAATCCGAAGCCAGGCGCTCATTGTTCCGACCCGCGCTTTGACCCAAGTCGCCTGTGTGCAGCCTGGGCCATTCCTCTGGGCTGTCCGCTGACTGCTGTGACATGTTGGGAGGAAGCCTGGTGCTGACTCTGGGCACCATTCAGTCTCCGAATGTACCCGCAGGCTAAGAATGAAGGCCTACTTGTCGACTCTGAGTGTTTCTTAGACATGGGCAGGAAAACTGTCCTGGATGAGAACTTGTCTAACTCGCCAGAAGCTGGATTCTGTGCACCCAAAGTGATCTTCCTGGTAAAATGGCCAATTACTAGTCCATTGGCAGCACGGTTTCTGACGAGGAGACGCCGCTGAACAGCAGGGACGAGGTGCAGGGACGCCAGGGAACTGCCAGCGTCCTCGGTGGCCGGGTCACCGGCCCTGCCGGAGCAAGGCGGGCTCAGGGCCCCTGGGATGCCGAGCAGACTCTTCTGCCTAAATTCAGTATGGCAGAGGCGAAATCAGAGTTCAGGGATTAGCCTGTGGTTTGAATTCTGGTCCTGCCATTTATAAACCCTGTTAAATTTTCTCGGTTGTCTGGTCTCCACACAAGAAACAGCGTCTTTCTCAAGGGCTGTGGAGATCGGGGACTATGCATGAAAGCTCCTAGGTCAGTGCGCGGCAGGTTATCAAGGCTCAGAAAAAGGGCAGCTGAACACTAAACCTGTATTTCCTCTCATGCCACAGCCATATTTGCTTCCTCTGCTTCACAAGTAACGTTGGCGAACACAGCTTCACCCCTAACTCCCAGTCGGCCTGCCACCGCGGAACCCGCAGCGGGCGGGCGCGGCCCCGAGCACGGCCGTCCTTGGCCGGGTCTGGAACTCCGTCTGGTCCTAAACTGCACTGTCACTGTGGCGAGCACCTACTGCACACTTCGGAGGGGACAGTAGTTTAGTGGTGGGAAAGGCAGCTCTGACATCGGACAGCAAGCAGCACCCCCTCGGGCTGAGCCCAGGAACGTGTTTCCTGGCAGGCGCGGCCGCGATGAGTGAAGAGAGGTCTGCAGCTGATGCCGGGAGGGCATGACCCTACGTTAGGAGCGGAGCTGTAGGGCCTGGAACCCTCTGCCGGTTCTTTCATGTCTGGGAATGGAAGAGGAATTTCCCAGTGTCATGTATCAGAGTCAGAACCAGAGCTGGCTGGACCACCCTGGCCAGGATTTGCTTCAATAGAAGAGTTAGGAATAAAATAGAGATTTTTATAGTGATTTGCACCTTCCTCACAGGAAGGCTCAGTATAATGGTCAGATTTTATAAAGCATTTAGGATTTCTTAGAGAAAGGGGCTACACACATGTAACATTAAAAAATATTAATAAAGGGTGGAGGGACCCCAATGCAAGAAGCCAGAGAGCTTGTCGGAGAGGCTGCCAGGGCAGAGCCCGGCCAGGCGCAGGTTACCTGGGTTCTGGGGAAGGGCCTGGCTAGCCTCTGGCACTCTGCCATGATCCGGACCGGCAGGCTCAGAGCACGGAATGGAAACAAGATCAAAAGCGAGGAGGCTCTGACAATCTTCCCCTCGGGCAGCTGGGGAAACTCGAACTCTCCTGCCCTCTTTTCGTCCATCTTCCTTATCTTGTTTTGGAATCAATCTGGCACACTGCCCTGACGTCAAGAGGTCAAGACAACATGTGCTTTTATGATGCAATATGGGGCAGCCACTGGTTCTGTTTTGGGAACCTTGGTGACATCATGAGCTGACCCTGAATCTCGGGAACTTGTGCCTAAGAGAACACTGAGTCAGAAGCCGGCCTTAGTCATAGGGCTACTGAAATCTGAGAGCTGTGAGGCGACGGAGCCTGCCCCTGCAGCACTGCCCTCTGCCTCTACCTGGTCTGGGCTTCAGTGGCTCGAGGACCCTCTAGGGAAGCGAATCAGCGTGGCACAGCTGTCGCCAGCAGAGCGTCGGCTGCTCGAGCCTGATTTCTCACGACATCAGTCAAGTATTCTTCCCTTTGAGGGGACAGTTTTGTCTTGAATTACAAGTGGCCCAGGTGGTCGTTTGAAGATGGCAGCCCAGAGAACACTGTCTTCACCCTTAGTTCCCAGCCTGTAGCCTGCCGGGTGTCCTGGGAAGACCGACAGGAAAGGAGACTCATAAATACGTGCTCACGGAATGCGCAGCTTCCCACCGCAGCGCGCGCCCAGGTGCTCGGAGTCGCGGCCTCCTGCTGGGGTTCGGCAGCTGTCTGCCCACGGGACACCCCCCGTCCTGACGCACATTTCCACGTCCACTTCACTGAAGCCACAGGAGCAGCACGTGTGCATTTAGACCAGTGGCAAAGGCCATTTCTGCTTTTTCAAGCAAAGCAGGAAAGGTCAGGAGAAAAATTGCTTGGGGACAGAGTCATCTGCTCACAGCCACAGGGGTTTTTAATTTTCCCAAACAAAATATGTGATTTCAAGATGCGATTAGGGATTGCTGCTCCCACAGTAAACATCGTATGAACATGAGCTGCTGGGTGGTACTTAACAGGACTCTGAGCTGGGAAGTAAATCCCACCCCATCCTCCAACCAGCCGCACGGAGACCAGCTGGGCCAGCCTCTCGCAGTGTCTCCACGGCGGAAGGTTTGCTCAGTCTCAGCCTGGCTGCTCTCTCAGACACTTCACATCACTGGTGCCCTCTAGGGTCTGGGTGGACTGTCCGAAAGGTCAGGTTTATTCTTGGCCCTCTAGAGTGGTACTCTTTGGGCACCCGGTGCTAAGTGGAAAGAGAAATAACTGTGATACCCACATGCACATTTTCATTTCAATGCCATTTGAAACTTATTTATGAGTATATACACATATTTCAATTTATCCCCCTTTAAATAAGCAGCAGTAAGATCTTTAGAGTTTGGTGGAGAAAGTTCTCCTTCTCTAAAACTAGCCCCACCTCCTCTTTTCCAATGCTTGCTCTTCCTCTCAGCCTCCTGTCCCTTTTCTGAGTCTCAAAAGAACACACACAAATGGCTGAGACCAAAAGAGATGCGGGATTCTGCTCTCACACTAATTTTCATATCTTATAATGACCTGCCTGGCCAGCGGGGCTCAGTGGTTGAGTGCTGTCCCATGCACCAGGAGGCCGCCAGTTCGCGTCCTGGTCAGGGTACATGCCTGGGTTGTAGGCTCGAACCCCAGGAGGGAGTGTGCCAGAGGCAGCCGATTGCTGTTTCTCTCTCATTGATGTTTCTATCTGTATTTCCCTCTCCCTTCGTCTCTCTGAAATCAACAGAAACATATTTTAAAATGAAATGCCTGCCTTTACAATGGCCGGGCCTGAGCTGTGGAGCTGGCAGCTCAGCACGCCAGCCCCTCGCTCTCTGGAGCTATTTAAACTCATTTAGATTCAAGTCTGGTTCTCCAGCATACTAGCCACATGGCAAGAGACCTGCAGTCCTGTGTGCCTGGAGGCTGGCACCCTGGGCTGCACAGCTGTGGGACATGTCCATCGCCGAAGTTCTAGGGGACACCGCTCTGCAAAGGCCTGGTTTGACTGTCGGGAGTGTCAAAACTCCTGGGCAATAATGTCACTTTATTGCCCCTTGCTCATTATAAAAGCAACTTGTTTTCACCACGTTTATGATAGAAATTAATGATCATCAGCCAGTCAGAAAGTTGCCTCCACAGGGAGCGAATTCACTTCACTTGCATGTCCTCACCTGCCAGTCAGCTTGCGTAGCTCCTTCCATGATTAACAAGGTCCCATGAGCCAAGGGTATCTTCACTCTTTCCACGTATGTGTAGTCTCCATGCTCTTCCTAGAAAACAGCATTCACTGCACTGAATTTTCTGCTCATGTGATCAAGATGTGACAGAACATGACCGTGGTCAAAGAAATGGACACCTCTCAGCCAGATGCAGGGGTCACTGGCTGTCTCTGCCACTTGGCAGCTGTTTGGCCTTAGGCTAGTCATGTCAACTCTCTGTGCCTTAATTTACTCCTCTGCGCAGTGGGGGTGACAGCACCTGCCACACAGGACTGTGGTGAGCCTCAACTGATCCAGCACGTGGCAATCACTGCAGACTGGCCAAGTGAATCGCTGTAAGTGCAGCTATTACTCTTCTTCTTATCAGCATCCAAAATGCAGACACGCCATGCTGGCCTATGAAGGAATTAAAACTCACTTACACTATAAGTCTTTCGTCTGCTTTATGCTGTGCTCTGCGTTTTGACATAGCATGGGAAAATGGTTTTTTTTAATAAGACATGGTATGATGAATTCTGATCATCTTTCACAGTTTATGCTAATTCACTAATTGGTACCTGTATTAAATCTAGTCACAACTCTTCCTATAGCCCTTTGGTGTTTTGGAGATATGTTCCTCTTTCTTTCCAGAAAGGGCAACAGTAAGCTTTCTCCACCAGGATCATGCTGCAAAGTGAGACGTGCTGTTTAGGGCTGGAAAATGGAGCATGATTCCTGAACACTTAGGGTACGAACGCCTGGGATTTCACATGCCCCTTTCAGAGAGCTCAGCCACGTCCGCTGCTGTGACCCGAGGCAGCCGCAGGCAGCCGCAGCTGGGTGCTCCGCCTTCCCAGCTGACAGGCCACAGTGCACACTTCCCTGCTCACGCAACAAGGAGCATGTCGAGAGCTCAGACTGGGACAGTCCTGAGCTTCCTGACTTCTTCGCCTCTCTCCAGGGCAGATCCACCCGTTCATCTGCTTCACTTCTGATGCACGGGATTACATCTGGGTTAGTGCAGGACTGATTTCATTGCAGTCTGTGTTTATGTTTATTATTGTACGGGTGCTTCTGAGAACATAACTGTTTACAATGCCTTCCTCCAGGAAAATCAAAATCAAAACAATAATGAACTTGCATAAACAGTCTAAGTTCCAGGCCCCAACCTGTGGCAATGACTTTGCAAGCAAACTCATAATTTTTACAGGCAGAAGATAAGAAACAATGTTTGAAATAACTTTGTTTCAGTGATTAATTTTAATGGTGCTTTCTACCTTTTCTCTTCCAGTGGTATGTATGCACCAAAGCATTCACCTCTGACCCCTCAGCCAACCAGAGAGCAGTGGGAAGGTGACCCTGTCCTTCTCAGAAACGCGAAAGGTTGCTCTCTGAAATAAGTATCCCAGACAGTGGAGGTGTATGTTCTCCTGGAAAGAAGATATCAGCAGGGGGTACACTGTCCCTGAGATTAGAGGGCCCAAGGCTCCAGGAATAGGCTGAAAAGTCAGTTACCAGAGCAAGCGAGGCACACACAGCTAGATGCAGAACTGCTGCCCTCCACACAGCCAGGGAGTGCAGCAGGGCTCGCTCTCTCCAGCACAGACACGAGGGCAGGAGAGCGAATGCCGGACAGACAGAGACGCCTACGCTACATGCAGCCAGCCCCAAGATGGAGATCTAGTGTAACATTAAAACAATATTGGGGTATTATCCTAAGTAAAACAAGCCAAGCAGAGAAAGACAAATATCAAATGATCTCACTTATTTGTGGAATATAATGAATATAACAGTCTGAGGAACAGGGTAGACCCAGAGACGTGGAAGTAGGATACAGACTGACAACCCTCAGAAGAGGGGATGGTGGGGGGAGGGAAGAGATGAACCACAGAATTTATATGCATGTACACATAACCGATGGACACGGACAACAAAGCCAGGTACAGGGTGGGGTGGGGGTGGGGAGGAGGGTGTCAATGGAGAAAAAAAGGAAAAACATCTGTAACAAAAATAAATTAATAAAAAAATTAAAAAAAAATAAAATAAAATATGAGCCCTGGCCGGATTTGCTCAGTGGTTAGAGCGTCAGCCTGTGGTCCAGAGAGACCTGGGTTTGGTTCCCGCTAAGGGCATGTACCTCGGTTGCAGTTTGTCCCCGGCCCTGGTTGGGTCGTGCGGGTGGCAGCCACTCGATGTGTCCCTTTCATGTCGATGTTTCTCTCTCTCTCTTCCTCTGTCTTCCTCCCACTCTATCTGAACAAAAAACGATTAAAATGTCCTCAGGTGAGGATAAAAAAAAATACATATATATATGTGTGTGTGTATATGTGTGTGTGTGTGTGTGTGTGTATGAAAAAAAACAGTATCGGGGAGCAGAGGGTGCTAAGGCCAGTGGAAGAGAAGAGGTGACACTGCAGTTCTGCCTGGAGCACGAAGCAGGAACAGACTAGCGAGGGAAAGAGCACTCCAAATGCCAGAGGGAAACTTTAGCACTGATGGAAAGTAATACTCGCATATCTATGTTTCACTTAATGCTCCTGAGATCTGAATTTTTCAAATGAGAGAAGGCCTCAGGTTGGTTTAAACAAATTACATCCAGTATAACCATTCACGGGATCAAAAAGGAGGCGAGGGTGAGCCTGCACTTGGGAAGGAGCCACTCTCCAGTCAGTCTCCACAGGAGACAGCAACACACTGTGCACCCAGCGCGCAAGGCGGCCCCATCAGGCAGGCTGCCTGTTCCTTCCAACACCCGCGGCCTAGAAATGCGTTCCTAATTCGCAGGAGACAGAAAAGAGGGCCAGGGATTCTACCAAGGCAACATGGGGCTCACAAATGCTTCCTTCTCCTGAGGCTAGAGAGGCACAGACCGCAGTGCCACCCTGAACTTACCCAAGGTGCACAGACTGTTTCCACGCAGGACGCAGACACTGGCGGGAGAGCTCACGTGGCTGTGCGAAAGCGCGAGGCGATGAGCGGATGCGCAGGGGAAGCACATGTCAGACTGTTTAGAGGAGCCACCGCAGTCATTAAGCATGGTTAAGTTACCAAACACAACTCGGTGACCCTCTGACTTACTCAGGTCTTTCTTCAAAACAAAACACGCTCCCAAAAAACCATGGCTTAGGATGAAATTTTCCATTCCTGATCCCAGTTAAAAGAAGCTTCTGGGGCCACAATCAGCCTACAGGGTAGGTTTTACTGTTGCTGTGCTTGGCTTTCCACACACTTGCAACCTCCCAGGTGGATGGAAAAGGAAAGCGTGTATTTTCATATCATGCAGATCGCCGTTCTCACCCACTCCCCACCACGGCCAGGTCATCTGAAAGCCGGACCATCATTTCACAGGAATGGCAGGGCTTCCCGAAGTCCCACAACTCTCATGGCCATGTCACCAAAATACCAGCCTCTTCAGTGTCCTTTAGAAAAGTGCCATTTAAGAAAAAATGGCTGGGTGTATTTATTATGTCATTACTAGCCACCCGACTGGCAGGAAGTCTAAACATTCTTTTCACTGGCAAGGTAATGTATGAGATCTGTGTAGATTTTTCGTGTAATTATTCCTTCCTTGTCTTAAAAAGGTATCTTAGAAATTACAACCAACATCAATGCTTGAAAATCACCACTGGCATAGTTTTTCTTTCAACTATAAAATCAACATAAATTTACCAGTAAATGACGCAGTGTCAGGACTTGTTCAACGTCAGCCTTCCTACTCTGATAAACTCCACGAGGGGAGGCCCATGTTGTCTTGTCCTCTCAAAACATGCTCAGTGCCAATTATCACACACATCAAGAAATACGTGCTGAATGACTGAGGGAAAGAAAGCACCAAGGAAACATAAAAATCACCTCTAATTCCATCATCCAGCATTCATACAATACACATATAACAACAGTCTATAGATACAACCGTGTACTCTACATTTTAACATTATATTGTGAACATTTTCCTATGTCTTAAAAATACAGTATTTCAAAAATATGGCTGGATGATATTCCTTTGCCTGAACACATCCTTCCTTCTTTAATCTCACCAACATTTTTTGACCACCTGTTTATGTCAGGCACTGTGCTCGTGATTAAGAATGTAACAGTGGCCCTGGCCGGTTTGGCTCAGAGGTTGGAGCATCGGCCTGCGGTACAGAAAGAATGTAAGTGAGGTACACATGTTTGGAGACTGAGTTTTTCATATGAAAAAAAAAAAAAGACAAAGAAAAAAAGCTATTGCAAGTAGATCTTGGGCAAAACATTTCTGAGTCTATTTCTAGAATATATTCTTAAAAATGAAATCACTGGATCCAAGGACATGAACTTGAAGGCACTCTGAGTTATACTACCAGACTGCCTTCTTAAGAAGGTTGGGGCAGTTAATGATCCCATCAGGAGAGTATGATAATACCTGCCTTCTGGCCATATCACCAATACTGAAAATTATCAACGACAATGATGAAAAACACTTAGGGAGAAACAGCATTCTTCACAGTTCTTTCCTGAATAACCAGTTCAACAATTCCACATGCCTGCTGCTGTTTGCATTGCTTCTGCTGCAAGCTCTCTGTTAGTTTGTGTCCATTGTTCTACGAGATGTAAACATTTTTCTTACTGATCTGTAACTGCAGGTAGTAAAATATTTTGCCTTTGTCATACTTTCTCATTTGTTACTTGCCTTCTAATTGTTTTTTGGTATTTAACGGAGAGTAGCCCCCAAAGTGTTTGAGTCAGCTCCACTGACCTTCCTTTGGCTCTCCTCCACAGTTTTTATGCTTAGAAAGTCTTTCCCATCCTGAGAAAAGTTAAATATACAACTGCATTTCCTTTTAGTTAAAAAAAAAAAAAGAGAGAGAGAGTTTATATTTTTTAGATTTAACTTTTTAATCCACCTGGAGTTGAGGTTTTTTTTTTTTTAAAGGTTTCTTTTTATAACAATTTCTAGGTACTTACACCGAGGGACCTGCTGGACTCTTTGGACAGGATCGACCACGGTGAATGCTGCTCGGGTGCCAGGCATGCTGGGCACTACTGATACACTGTTGCGAATCCTCAGACAATCCCATTAGGGAGATAATGTT